GTGGCACCATGCAGTAGTTTTCCTTTTGTGACTGAGATACTTCACTCAGCATAGTGTCCTCCAGGGTCACCCATTTTGAATAATATTCAATGCAGCATAGTATTCCATTGTGTGAATATACTATAGCTTCTATGTCCATTCATTTGTTGATGGGCACTTAGGATGTTTCCAACTCCTTGCTATTGTGAACAAAGCCGCGATAAACGTGGGTGTGCATAAATCTGCTTGGATGTCAGTTATGGTCTCTTTTGGGTATATTCCTTGTAGTGGAATTGCTGGGTCAAATGGGATCTTTATTTGCAACTTTTTGAGAAAGCACCATACCACTTTCCACAGTGGTTGCACCATTTTACAGTCCCACCAACAGTGAATAAGGGTTCCAATTTCTCCACAACCTCGCCAGCTTTTGTTGCTTGCTGTTCTGGCGTGAGATGATATCTCATAGTTGTTTTAATTTGCATCTCTCTTAGAGCTACGGATTTTAAACATTTATGTGCTTGTTCGCCATCTGAATGTCTTCTTCGGTGAAGTGTCTGTTCATATTCTGTGCCCATTTTTCTACTGGATTATTTACTTTTATTGTGTTGTGGTTTGACCCAACTTTTTAAGGCAGAACACGTGAATCGTGAAAGATGTGTGTCAAGGTTGAATCCTTTCTCTATACCTGTTCATCCTCTATGTTGAGCAAGTTATCTGAGGAACTGGACTATGTGAAGAAGAAAGTGGCATTAGGACTGGAGAAAAACTCATCAATAACTTAAGTTATACAGATGTCACAACCTTGCTTGAAGAAAGTGAAGAAGACTTGAAGCACTTACTACAGAAGATCAAAGACTTCCATATGAATTAATGTCAACATCAGGGAAAAAATCTCCATTAGATTAATAGACAGAATTGTGGTCAATGTTGGCTAGATGCTACTTGATGCAATTCTTAATTGACAGAGTATTATAGACCACTTAATTTGAGTTTGAGCGTATTATACCACATGTATGTACGTTGTAAAGAGATGATGATAGCTAAGCATAATTTTAGAATACTCTGAAACCAGACCATATCTGGAGTAAAAGAATCATTGACATTTTACCCTAAGCTGTGGAAGGGGAAAAAACCCTAAGACTCTGAATATTTCTAAAGTTTAACTAACTTTGTAGCAGCATGGAAGAACTGCTCATCTTTGTATTACAGGTTCACACAGTTTTCTTTTAGTGCCTTGGCATATTGAATTGATTTCAATAACTGTCTTTATAGTAGTTAGTATATTGTATGCATTCTTGTTTTCTGTGGCCTCCTGATTATCTACTTGGAGTTATTGGGAGGAGCAAATGAGGAATTTTTTGCTTAATATATTCTGAAAACATTTTTTGCCTGTTTGGATTACAAGTCAGTCTATTCTGGACCTTTCTCTGTAGGTACTATCAGGAGAAAATTGCACTAACCATTCAACAAAATTATTGAACTAGAACTCTGAAGAGTGATCATCTCTACAAATCGAGCATTGCTGTGACTGTCCCTTTAGTATAGTTGCTTCATATCACCTTACACATTTACATGTTTTCAGTTGTTCTCTGATTTGTTAAAAAAGAATAAGAAACTCAAAATATTCAAGGTATTTCACATTAGTATAATTGCTTCATCTTACTCCACATATTCAGACAATATTATCAGTACTCTGATTTAAGAAAGGATAAGAATTGAAAAATATTCATGATAAAAAGGTGAGAGGAATAACATGGTGGATTTCTATGAAAAATTTCAAAATAGCTTGATTCTATTATAATAATTTCGAAAGAATATTTTTCAGATACTTCTGACTGTAGGATTTTGCTGTCTGGTCATTTACTAAGAGCTTATAGACGTTATAGAATATATCTGTAATAGCCGGGAGTAGAGACTTAGCTCACTCATCTGAAGCTAGGTTCTTTTCGTTTGTGCTTCAGACTTTTTTTCTCTTCTTACTAATAATAGGAATTTTATATAATTCTGACCAGAAATTTAAAATTTTCTTTGACCCTTACATCACCCACCAAACTCAACATGGAAAAAAATTTAAGGATGTAAGGAAAGAGGGGAGGGTATTAATTTCGCAAAACTCTCAATCACTTCCTTTTCTGGTCGTAGCAGTTTTGTTGAAGGTATTGTTACTGGTATGTTCATGATAGTTTCATTACAATAAACACTTTAGATATTTGCTGAAGCTCATTCAAGTGCCTAGCCATATGCTGTTTTCTAACTCTTCTTCTCCCATAGGAAAAGGAAGAATTGATTGAAGAGTGGCAACCTGAACCTCTTGTTCCTCCTGTCTCCAAAGATCATCCTGCTTTGAACTACAATGTTGTTTCAGGGTAAATTGATTTTGATGCTCAAAGGAATTACATTTGGTTTTTTATATCCACCAAAATATAAGGAGGCTCTGGTCATCTAGTGATTTACACATTATTCCTTTTTAATTGAAATAAAGCATTCAGAAATTTCTGATGGTTACAGCTTTAGTCTCCACTGTAACATTTTCTTTTAGGGCGGCAGTAAATTGCATGGGAGGAGATTTCCCATCCTTTTCTCATTTTGGGGATAGAATGAGCATTTTTTAAAAGTTCCCAAGCTGAAAATTAATGTCCTTATTTATTTTTATGTTGTTTTTTTAAAATGCAGTTTTCTCCACACACTTTCCTTCACTGACATTATTTTTCTTTTTTTATTATTAAATTTTATTAGTTTTAATGAACATTTACAGAGATTTTGGGTTTCCATTCATTCATTGTTGCATTATTTTTTTCT